GTTCTCAGGAAGAATCCTCTGAGTTTTCCAGACTGACCTTAACAGCCATTATGTCAACATATTGCCTTAAAATCTTGTGTTGAAAACATGGCTCTTGGAGACCAAGCTGAGGGGACACAACTGCTCACCCTGCCATTCTGGGGTGCTAAGCCCCTCCTGTTTGGAGGATTAAGTGTTCTCCATGTTTCAGCTACAGATGTGGTTCAGCATTGGAGAGCCTTGCAGCAAACTGTCAGGCTGATGAGGGGCTGCTCTTAGTATTGATGTGATGACAGCCAGCTCATTCACTCATTTGTTTGTCACCAGCTGAACCTGTGCCAGCTGGTCCGCACTGTTGTCATCACCTTGGTGTTCCCATTGCTAAAACAGGACTAAAAGGTTAAGCGTCTTGCATTTTCCAAGGTGAATTCCAGAAGAACCAGGGCTGGAGATATGACTGGACTCTCCACTCTGGATAGGAGATGAGAGGGTGGCTGCTCTAAAGCATGAAAGAAGGGCTTGAGCAAAGCTTATGATGCCAGAGTACTTGAATGTTCTTAATATTTGTTCAACCTGATGACAAAAAGAAGGGAGGGGATCACTTGTACCCATAGGATAAGGATGCAACAATTTTTTTCATTAAAAAAATTGTGTTGTTGTTCAAGTACAGTTGTCTGCCTTTCCCCACCATCACTCCCCCATCCCAGCCACCCCCTCCTCCCTCCCCTGATTCCATCCCACCTTGGTTTCATCCATGTGTCCTTTATAGTTGTTCCTGAACACCCTTCACCCTTTCCCCCCCATTACCCCCTCCTACCTCTCCTCTGGTCACTGTCAGTTTGTTCTTTATTTCCAAGTCTCTTGTTCTGTTTTGCTCATTTGTTTGTTTTGTTGATTAGGTTCCACTAAAAGGTGAGATCATATGGTATTTGTCTTTCATCGCCTGGATTATTTCACTTAGCACAATGCTCTCCAGTTCCATCCATGCTGTTGCAAAGGGTAGGAGCTCTTTCTTTCTTTCTGCTGTGTTGTATTCCATCGTGAAAATGTACCATAGTTTTTTGATCCACTCATTTACTGATGGACACTTAGGTTGCTTCCAACACTTGGCTATTGTAAATTGTGCTGCTATGCTGGGATGCATAGGTTCTTTTGGGTTGGTGTTTCAGGGTTCTTAGGATATAATCCCAGCAGTGGAACTTACCTTTAAAGATGATTTGATGTCAAGAGAATGTATCCATGATCTGCATAAAGAAAAAAGCAGTTTTTAAAACAAAATACTGTTACCAGTTTTGAGAGGTGAGAAGACCATGTGTATACATTAGTAGTAGCTACATGGGGATATATATAATATGTTTATTGAAAGAAGACAATATGAAGGATAGACAACAATATTAAGGATGCTTTTGAATACTTTTTCCTTTTACTTATGATTTTATTATTATTATTATTTTTAAAGTTTTCACAGGGAATCTTTTATATGAAAACATATTGTGTTTTATCAAGATAAAAATAAATATTTTATCCAATGAAAGAATTAGGGGTGAACCACTGTGTATGGTGCCCAGAACCCTGATTTTGCTATGTGATTATAGGCACTTGCTTGCCGGTTTATCCCAGTGCAGTGCTCCATGAGTTCTTTTTGCTTTATTTGCTTACAGTAACACCCCCTTATCCACGGTTACACTTTCTGCAGTTCTAATTACCCATGGTCATCTGAGTTTCAAAAATACTAAATTGAAAATTCCAGACATAAACCATTCATAAGTTTTAAGTTGTGCACCAGCCTGAATAGTGTGATGAAATCGCGTGCTCTCCGGCTGTGTCTCGTCCCAGATGTGAATCATCGCTTTGTCTCCTGTCTCCACCCTATAAACACTACCCGGCCATTACTCACATAGTAGCCATCTCGGTCATCAGATCAACTGTCCTGGTATCGCAGTACTTGTGGTCAGGTGACGCTTATTTACTTAATAATGGCTCCAAAGGGCAAGAGTAGTGATGATGGCAATGCAGATATGCTGAAGAGAAGCCATACGTTGCTTCCTGCAAGTGGAAAGGTTCGTCTGTACAGGGAAAGGGATAGTATGCATAGGGTTTGGAACTGTCTGTGGTTTCGGGCTTCCGCCTTGGGTCTCAGAACACTTCCCCTGTGGATAAAAGGGGACCACTCTATTTCCAGGGAAACCATGAAAGGATAAAATTCATTTGCTGCTTGTATAAGACTTTGTTTTTAAATGTGGAAGGCAAGTTCAGTTTGCCCAACCCCCGTAGTTGGTGGAGCTGGAGGCTGTCCAGGCACTTTCCCCTCAGCAGCAGACTTCCTCACGAGGCCTGGGATTTGGTGGGCATCTCTCTCTCCCAGAATTCTTTCTCTAAAAAAGCTCCCTCGGCGTTTCTCTTTGCTTCTTCCCTACTTAGCCCTTTTCCTCACTGGTGAAGTGAAGAGGTGGACTAGAGGTTCTTAAGATAAAAGAAAATGTATTACCCACCTCACCAGGCCATTTTGATGATTAAATTGCACAAACAATATACATAAAAGCACTTTAGCTAAACAAATGCTCAAGTTCTTTAGCATACATATACGAAAACCTTCAGTAACTTCTACTGCTATTGGTTGTTTCTCTAAATCCTAGTTTCTGGACCTGGCTTTTAGCACCATATTGAAAATTGTGTGATTGTATGGCTAACTCTAAATGACCAGTGGGCCTTTTCTGCAAATAGTTCTAATAAGTGGAGAAAAGTCCAGGATATGGCTCTTGTCTGCTTATTATGTTTTTAAGTCTCTTCAGCTGGTCAGTTGTAAATATTTCTATAGAATATTTCACTAATGTATTTATTTATTTCTCATATTATGGGGACATTAACCTGTCTCAGTGGGGAGAAAGAAGGGGGTGAATTTGCCAGATCAGAGGAGAAAGAACCAAGTCACAAAACCATTGAAACCATTGCCTCCTCCATCACTTCCATATTCCTGAGAAGTGGTCTCATCTAAGTGAATAAATAGATTTCTCTCTGTGATTTTATCTGCTGCCCCAATTGTGTGAGTCTTGTAGCCTTGGTGCTAATGTCCCTTTATGACCATTCATGCATTCTCATAGCATCCTAAGTTTTTCTTACCATTGTTAGTGATTACATGTTTTGGGGGTCATTTATCCAACATCTACTCCTTTGCAAAACTGAGCTCCGGGAAGCCAGGGATGGTGTCTCTTTTTCTTCTCATTGTATCTGGGCACCCAGTGTTCTATCTGGAACATAATGGATAGTCAATAAACACTTGTGGGGTGAAAGAATGAATTAATCGATTCACCCACAATCTTAGCATTGTGCTTACTGGGGGACCTGAGGAACAGAGTGGTTAAATGACTCTGTGGGTCGATCTTTCAATTTATCTGTTTTTCTTTTGTTGCTTATACTTTTGGTGTCATATGCAAGAATCCACTGCCAGATCCAAGATCGTGGAGGTTTACCCCTATGTTTTCTCCTGCTTTCCTTCACTTTTAACCTTCAGGTTCTCATCTAGATTTTAGAAGTCACTCACTTCCTCCAGTCAACATCAGAAAAATGGGAAGCTGAGCTAAATATGTCCTGTGTCTGCAGGAGGGGCTCAGAGCAGTAGGGGAAACAAAACAAACCTCAGTGGTGAGAGGATCTTGGTGACCTATGCCAATCATTCCCCCAATGCCAGTGTGAGGATCTTTGCTGCTCCACCAATGTTTGTCGGGGGAAAAAATAACCTTATTGCTCAAGTGGTTCCTTTCGATGATGCTAAATTTTTCTTATGACCCGAGGCTGGAAGTAGATGGTGATGCTTTCTTTAAATGGCTCTACATGGAAAATTAAGAATGATCAACTCTGTGTCAGACTTCCATGTTTACTGGTGGGAAATGGAAAACTCAACTATGAAATTCAAGAGGTTAGAAGCCACCATGGCTGCTAAGGTTGGTTTAAACAGGCGACAAGGCATGTTGGAGGTCCCTGCTTCGGGCTTTTAGAAAAGGCTTCAAGGGGAAACCAGATTCACTTTCTTCTCCAAATATCTGGCCTATTTTCTGCTTCAATCATCTTTGTGCAAAATTTTTAGAAATGGAGAGTGGGGAAAAAAAAGAAGAGTCAAAGCTTAGTCTGTTTCTTAGCCTGGGTTCCTCTGGGCAGCCTCCAGCTGATTCCTGTTATAGGTTTTGCCAGATGGTTTTTCTTTTTCATTTATTTAAGGTACATTTTTTAAGAAAAGAAATACAAAAATTTCCCCAGAAAGGAATACTTTTTCTCATGGGAAAGAACACTCAGTTGAATTTGGGGACTGAATAAAGTTCTGCCAATGAGTTCACCCTTGTAAAACATTGAAATTCTCCCAAACATACTAATTAAGATAGTTTTTGTCTTTTCTGTTGGTTTTAGCTTTGAAGATACCATAAAAATGGCACACTGAAAAATGGAGGAGCCAAGTTTGGAGGAAATGACATGGTCTCTACTTGGCAATCAGCCTTGCACTTGAATGGCCTCATCTAGAGACTGGTCCCCAAACTTTTTTGATGGCCTGAATCTCTGGGCTGTGCTGTATGGCTGTGTACTTGAGTAGTTCCTCCTGGGGTTGTGCAGTGCACCACCTATGTAGTTGTAAGAAATTACCTGATGCACCCCAGCAAAAATAGAAATGAGCATAGACCCTCAGAAGATGTATACTTTGTTTATAAATTATATATGTGTGTATGTGAGTCAGTCCACTTAGATGATATATTTATAAAACATGATTTCTTTTTTCATTATAAGATAAAAATGAATAGCTGTTCTACCAAATTTTGTTTATGAAGCAATGGATAGTGTGGAATGCCCTTTGAGATAAACTACCTCACTTTGGAGGCACTGGCCTAGAAGAATGCAATGATCTTCTCTGTCATTTAGGGAGGGTGACACCCTCTGTCATTTGTAGGGCAAAGTTGCTTTTTAGTAGTAGAGTACTTACGGGTCTTACCCCTTCTTGCAGGACCTTTGTCCTTACCTGCTGATTTCTGTTTCAGAGTACACAGTCATCAATGAAGCCTGCCCTGGAGCCGAGTGGAACATCATGTGTCGGGAGTGCTGTGAATATGATCAGATCGAGTGCGTCTGCCCTGGAAAGAAGGAAGTCGTGGGTTATACCATCCCTTGCTGCAGGAACGAGGACAACGAGTGTGACTCATGCTTGATTCACCCAGGTGAGTGTCGAATGGGAGACCTCAGGTTACCTTGTGTTTTCTGAGGTCATGAATGGGACCAGGCTGAACACTTGAATTCTGGCAGGCAGCCATCAGGAGGCCGTGATGCTGTGATTGTTAAGAGTGGCATAATTCAGCTCTTTTTAACTGGAGGAACTGGAGGAGTTAATACCCTGTATGGTGTTAAACTTGTAAAGCTGTGAATTCATTCACTCATTCTTTCATTGAACAAACAGACTGATATCAAACTATACTACAAGGCTATAGTCATCAAAACAGCATGGCACTGGCATAGAGACAGACATAGAGATCAATGGAACAGAATAGTGAGCTTGGGTTAAACCCATACCTTTATGGTAATTAGTATTTGACAGAGGAGGCAAGAACAAATAATGGGGTAAAGACAGTATGTTCAATAAATGATGTTGGGAAAATTGGGCAGATATGTGCAAAAAAATGAAACTAGACCACCCCCTCATACCACCCCCTTATAACTAAAAATGTATTAAAAACTTAAAATGTAAGGCTCAAAACCATAACAACCCTAGAAGAAAACAAAGGAAGTAAAATTTCCTTGGGTAAGAGAAACAAAGGAAAAAAAACAAATGGGACTACATCAAGCTAAAAGATGTTTGTACTGCCAAGGAAACCATCAACAAAATAAAAAGACAACTCACAGAATGGGAGAACATATTTTCAATCATGTATCTGATAAGGGGTTAATATCCAAAATTTATAAAGAACTCAACTCACCCTGGCTGGCGTAGCTCAGTGGATTGAGTGTGGGCTGCGAACCAAAGTGTTGCAGGTTCAATTCCCAGTCAGGGTACATGCCTGGGTTGCAGGCCATGACCCCTAGCAACTGCACATTGATGTTCTCTCTCTCTCTCTCTCTTTCTCCCTCCCTTCCCTCTCTAAAAATAAATAAATGAAATCTTTAAAAAATTTAAAAAAGAACTCAACTCAACACCAAAAAATGAAACAATCCAATTAAAAAATGGGCAGAGGACCCAAGTGGTGATGTGGGGTGGCATAAGGGGACTAAGTGGTAATGGAAAAAATGCAACAAAAAAGAAAGAAATTATGAAACAAGCTGGAACAAAGACAAAAAAACAAAAACAAAAAAGAAACAAAAAAGGACCCAAGTTGACATTTCTCCAAAAAAGACATACAGATGACCAGCTGACATGTGAAAAGATGCCAAACATTACTCATCATCAGAGAAATGCAAATTAAACGCCAATGAGATGCTACCTCACACATGTCAGAATAGCTAGCCTCAATAAATCAACAGAGAACAAATGCTGGTGAGGATGTGGAGGAAGGGGAACCTTCGTGCACTGTTGGTGGGAATGCAGATTGGTGCAGCCACTGTGGAAAACAGCATGGAGTTTCCTCAAAAAATTAAAAATGGAACTGTCTTATGACCCAGTGATTCCACTTCTGGGAATACATCTGAAGAAACTGGAAACACTGATTGGAAAGAACATGTGCACCCATATGTTTATTGCAGTGTTACCTACAATAGCCAAGACTTGGAGCAGCCCAAGTGCCCATCAGTAAATGAGTGGATAAAAAAACTGTGGTACATTTACACAATGGAATACTAGGTGGCTATAAAAAAAGAAGGAAATCTTATCTCTTGTGACAGCATGGATGGATCAGGAAAGTAATACGCTCGGTGAAATAAGCCAGTCAGAGAAAGACAAGTACCATCTTATCTCACTTACATGTGGCATCTAATTAACAAAATAAACAAGCAAATAGAATAGAAACATACTCATAGATATGGAGAACAGAATGACAGTACTAGGGAAAGGGAGATTGGGAGGCTTGGAGAAAAAGGTGAAGGGATTAAGCATGAAAAAAAAAACCCCTCAAAACTCATAGACACAGACAATAGTAGGGTGATTACCAGAGGGAATCATAAGATGCTTCCTGCTGTTCTTGAGCGTTTTCCACCTGAGATCTGGAGGCAGCCATTTCTCCAAAGAACTCTGGTCTGAGAACTCGGTCTGGGCACGTGAGGTGTTCCTTGCTGTTGGATTGTCCTTGCTACCAGGTTCTTCTGTTTTTGTTTTCTTTTTACTGAGTGGAGCTAGAGAATATGTATTTTTTTAAAAAACTGAATTTGTTGATATCCAAGTTCAAATTTAATTATATAAGGTTGTTTACTTCTTTGATTTTAGATTTGTATATCTTTTCTCCCATGGTGCACGTCCTGTTTTCTAATAATACTAAGCTAATCACTTATTTTCTTCATCTTATATTAGAGCATAATATAATTGTGCAAAATAACAAGAGCCCTCTAAGCCCTATAAGACTAACAATAAGACCACTGAATGAAGTTATGGTTTCTTTGTGGTTTTTATTGACCTTAGAGTATATCCCACTAGAAATATACAAAGTGCTATGATTTCAAGCCGATCAATACACAGGCATACCTTCTTTTATTGAATTTTGCTTTACTGCACTTCATAAATGTTGCATTTTTTTTACAAATTGAAGGCAAAACCCTCCACCAGCAAAAAGCTTATAACCCACTTTATTGTGGTGGTCTGGAACCAAACCTGCAATATCTCCGAGGTGTGTCTGTAGTTCTTTTCTCTGTAACGTAAGTCACCTACTCGATATACAGATAGATTTATTATTTCCATCTGTTTTCTATTTTTACAGTACAAGCCAACATATACGTATACAGGTATACATATATTATACATTTACGTATCTATTTCCTTCTTTCACGAAGGATAGCATACAATAAATAGTGCTAACTTTAACCTGGCTTTTTGATCTTAACAATATATGCTAGAAAAAAGAAAATGAACTCATGGACATGGACAACAGTGTCGTGATTGCAGGGGACGTGGGTGGGTAGAAGTGGGAGAGGGTATGGGGGGATAAATGGTAATAAAAAAATACAATAAAATGAGCTGTTAAACAAAACAGTATGTGCAAGAGATCACTCACTGACAGTGTAAAGCCATCATCTTCATTTGTTTTTACAGTTACTCGTGACCATATTGCATGGATCGACATAGTTTATGAATATTTGGGTCATTTCCAGCCTTTTGCTAATGTCAGTCATGCCACAGTGAGTAGCCTGAGGCACATATCATTTAGTAATTTTGCAGTGTGTCTTTGGGGTAGATTCCTAGGAGAGGGCTTGCCAGGTCAAAGTGTGCCGATGCCATTTTGCCAGCCTTTGCCAAGTTTCCCTCCATGCCTTTGGCATTCACAGCAGCTGTGTATGAGGGGACTGTTTTCCCAGAGCCTTGCAACAGAGCGTGTGTCCTGTGGGATTTTGGCCAACCTCATGCATGAGAAATGGTATCTCAGTGCGGTTTGTGAAGTTTCTATCCTTTCTATCACTGTGAATGACAACGACCTTCTCTGCGCTGGTGTCCATGGTCGCAGGGAGGTCGGGGTCCAGCGGCGCAGTGGCAGGGATGTGAATGGTGGCTTCCAGAATGTCCAGCAGCACTGGGGCCCTTGTTTGCTGGACCAAGTTTGCTAGACATTTCTATGTGGCTCCAGGCTGGGTGGCTCTGAACTCGGTCCTCTGGCCCTTCTGGCAAATCTGTGAGTTACTCAGTGTCTTTTTGAATAGGGCCTCATTCATTTTAATCACCAGGCTGGTTTCTGTGGCTTGCACGTAGTGGCCTGGATGTTCCCGTGCCAAGAAAGTTGGCAGGATCATTGTGGTTATACTCTGGGCCCATTTGCCTCCTCAGTGGCACAGCGGGTAAGGGACGCAAAGAGGGACAAGTGGCACATGGGTGAAGAGGGCCTTTAGAAGGCACAGGGACCCCACTGGGACCCAGTAATGGGCCACATGAATTTGAGGCATCATATAAGCAACTCTTCTCTGGTGGGCGAAGGGCCTGGGAGAGGGAAGCAAAACCAGGCTGGTCTGTGAAGAGAGGGCCGCTAGTCTCTGTCCCACAGAAACCACACTGCAGATATTCCCATAGGCCCACAAGACCTAACCCCGGCCAGAAGCAAAGGAGTGTGCTATCAGAACAAGGAAACGCTGGCTATCTCAAACAGTGCAAAGCCTGCGGTAGCCATCCATCCACTCACCCATCCATCCACCTACCTGTTCATTCCCTCTAACAATATTTATTGAATACTTAGTATGTGGCAGATACTGGAGTAGTCACTGAGGAGATGGTATTGAACAGCATGAAGTCTGAGACTTTATTCTACTATAGGTAAGCAGATAATAGGCAATTAAAATTGAGCATAATACATGCAGCAATAGCGATATGCTCAGTGAAGGCGCGGAAAAGCATAATAATAACAATAGTTCATATTTTGGGGGTTCTTATTATGTGCCATGCCCTTTACAGGAATTCATTCAATTTTGGAAACAACCCCGCGGGGCAGGTACTGTTTTGAGCCCAGTGTCGCGGATGAGAACAGCTAGGGGCAACTGCTCGAGGACACGCGGCTGCGCAGAGCCGGGGCCAGCACCCAGCTGCCCGTGCTCGGCGGGTTGAACGACCTCCACCTTTCCTCACCATCCCCCCGCCCTCAAGGGGCCGTGTGTTAAAAATGAGCCCTGTCTGGGAACTGCTCAGCCGTCTCCGGCGTGGCCTGCTGCTGGGGGCAGCCTGACACCTTCCAGGTCGAGCCGCGTTAGACATTAGGGTGGTTTCCAACGGCAGGCTGTGATTATAGCAGCGCAGGACACAGAAGGATCTGCAACGAAATGGGGAGATATTTACTTTTATTATTAGATGAAAAACTAAGTTACAGAACCAGAATGTACAGTATATAGTATAAGCCTAATTTAAAAAAGAAAAGTATGTTTGTGTATATATAAAGACTGCGACCGGTTTTCTCCGGGTGATGCTGTTTTAGGTGGTTTTAACTTCATTCTTTCTGCTTTCTGAATAGCCTAAATATTCCACAATGAATCTGTCATACAATCAGAAAGAGAAAGAACACACGGTACTGACACATTCACAATGCCCTTTGCTGCAGATTGTTTCCTGCTACTTGAAGACATCAGCCCCCGACTAGAGAGAGGGTGCTCCCCACCCTCCTCACACCGAGGTCCGGTGACTCAGCATTTCCCGAGAACGGACGTCCGCACCTGTGCGGGTCCAGGAGCCCTTAGCGGACGCCAGGCCCTGGGAAGGTGCACAGTTTCTCTCCCCGGGAACTGATCATGCAGCCCGTGCTGACTCGAACACGTTTCTTCTTGGACATGTTTCAGGTTGTACCATCTTTGAAAACTGCAAGACCTGCCGCAACGGCTCGTGGGGGGGCACTCTGGACGACTTCTACGTGAAGGGGATCTACTGCGCCGAGTGCCGGGCCGGCTGGTACGGAGGAGACTGCATGCGTGAGTACGCTCCGAGGTCACTCCGCCTCTCCTCTCCAGTACACGCAGTTTCAGTGTCTCATCTTGCCGCAGACTGAGGTTTCTTTTGCTGGGGTGTGAGTTCTGGAAAGCCTGCGGCCTGGGGGCTTTGTAGGTAAGGCCATAAAAATCCCTCCCAAATACGTGCTTCTCCATCTGCTGGTTGTGGATTGTGGACATCTGCTTGGAATTGGCCACAGGAGGTTTGTATCAGCCCTTAAATCCCCCCCTTTTTCCTGAGCGAAGCCAAGGCACTCTGCACACAGCCAGCCTGCTGTCCATTCCAAAAGCTGCCCGCATTACCATCCATCAGCACACAGTGAATGAGGCATTAACTGTGCTCAGCCTGCAATGCATTTTAAATACGAATTTCTGTTAGTAAATTTTTAAATCCTGAGTTCAATTCCCAGGACCCACATCCGATTGTCAGCATGCCACTTGTCCCAGGAAAGGGGTTCCTCCCACCCTCAGGGTTCTACTTGATCTCCAAGGATTACTTCGTCTTTATTAGGGTTCCCCTATGAGTTTCGACCATCCTTGGAAAATGGAGTGGAAATGCCACCCCCCTCAGTCTGAGGTTCCCCTCTGCGGTGCTCTGATGGCGAACGTCCCCCTGAGGGTCTGGAGCTGGTGCAGTGTACCAACTGTTACTGTTTGTTAGGCCTAGTTCACATGCTCCCTGTTTGAGTCAGAAGCCCTCTGGATGGTCTTACTGTCTGAGCAATTCTATTCTTACAATGATATTCCCCGTTCGCAGAGATGGGGCTGGAGAGCGATTGGTGTTCTCCGTCTGATCCAACCATAGCAAAGCACCATGAATTTTAAGAGTCTTAGGGAAAGGGTGAGGTGTGTGGTCTGCAGCTGAGAAACTCGATTACAGCTGGAGGGGAAGGAGTGTGTTGGTGCTTCAAAGTGAGCCCGAGTTCGCATCTGTATTCTGTGTCCAGAATACAGATCCTGCATTTTGCCGTGTATAATGTGCACTTTTTTTTGCCCAAGTTTTCCAGGGAAAATAAAAACATGTATTATATATTGATAGTGCTAATTCTGTATCTATATAAATGCTTTTAATTCTTTCATTTATGCTTATGCATTAAAAGTCTAACTCTAGAAAGCAATAACAGCACCTGTATGCAAAACAGTATCCTGGAATACAACCATCTGGTTTGTTTCTAAATATAAATAAATAAATACTTGAACTAAAACATTAAAATGAAAGATGTTTTTTTTTCCTGAAAATTTGGGCCAAAAACATGAGTGTGCATTATACATGGCAAAATACGGTAATTTTTAAAGTGCTGGTCTCAGGTGCAGATTTAAAACATTAATGTCATTTTAGGTGGTTTATAGAAAATGGAATTTAGTACTTTGGTGGAGTATTTTCTAGGTAGATTAGCTGCGGGGTTTCACCCTGGTCTCTTTGGCAGCTGTTCTCCGGAGACATGGTGACACAGTGGTCAAGACCGCAGGCTGTGATGTAACATGGGTCTGGGTTAACGGTGGCCTTGCCAGCCACTTGCATGGTGACCATGGCTCTGTCTCTGAACCTTGCTGATCTCAGGATCCTTTGCTTCAAAATGGGAAGAATGCTATCTCTGTCATGGTGCAGTTTCTAGAATTAAAGGAGACGTGTGTGCAAAGCACTTAGTGCTTTGCCTGGCGTATAGGTCAAACTAATACAGTACTGATACCATTGTTATGCTATAGGCTCCTTAACTGATAAGCAGATAGGTGGTCCAGAAATAGAACCACTTAAGACAGCCATAATCAGAGCTATAAAGCACAGCTTTGGAGCTCACACTGACCATTGCAGTATATAAGACAACTTTGGGGATTCCTTCCTCTGGATATGGAGGGTGGAGAGGGCTATGTGATGGGATTGGAGCCACAGGCAGGAGTTGGATCGTGCATGGCCTTGTAGGTAGATAAAGTAGGTAAAGAGTTTAGATGTTATTCCGAGTGCGTGGGAAGCCAAGGAAAACTTGTGAACTGGGGTATGGCATAGGCAGCACCATAGATAAGGGAACTGTTAATCACAGGGAGTTGGGGGAGGGGAGGTTTTAGACAGGAGTGGATGCTTGAGCTATGCCTTTGCTCAGGTGTGAGCAAACCAGGGAAATACCTAAGTTGGTGCAATTCTAGATCTCTTGTTCTTAACCGCAGCACTATGAGACCTTCGCTTCAAAAGCTCTGTTTTCTCTGAAAAGTGGGAAGTGAGATCTCTGCTGAGTGCGGAGTGGAAGTGAGGCTGGAGGGAGAGTGCCAAAGGCTTGAAACAGCCATGTCAGGAATCAGGAAAGGCACCAGCTAGTGAGAAGTTAAAAAGCATGTCCAAGCAAGACTGAGGGCCCAGTTCAAGCTGGAACTTCTGTGTGGGTGACTCAGGCAGGGCAGGTGGGCAATGCTCTCCAGCAGTGTGGTAGCAGAGGTGAATTGAAGCAATCACTTGGTTGATCCAAGAGCTTGCTAAGACATGATTGTCCAGGCTGAGTAGGACATGAAACCAGAAACCAGTCTGGTAGAGAGAAAACAGGGATGAATGTCTCTGTGTGGTAGAAAAGTAGGCTTAGTGGTTATAAAGCGGTGGCACACAGAACTAGAAGGGGTATTGTGTCAGAGAACAGAATTTTCAAGTTGAAACTTTCAGGGGTGGTGATGATAATAAGTTCAGAAATTTTAGTCAGTTTTGGTGTGTAACAAGTGATCTCAAAAGGACAGACTTTTTTTTTTTTTTTTAATGTCATGAGTCTGTAGGTTGGCTGAGGTTCAGCTGATTTTAGCTGGGCTGACCTGGGTTGGAATCTCTGCCTCAGGGCCCAGGCCGAAGGGGCGGCAGCTGCTTTGGATGCATTCTTCCCGGGGCGGATTTGCAGAGGCACTAGAGGCCAAACCAGACACACAGGCATGTTGAGGGCCTTTGCCCACATCACATTCACTCATGTTCCAAAAGGACTCTACACATGCCTGAGCCCCAGATCAGTCCACTGGGGAAGTATACTCCATCCCAAGGAGCAGGGGTACAAATACTTCCTAAACAACACTCCGGTCCATCTGTGTGAGTAAGTGGTTTGTTTGGAGGACAGGGTAGAGAAGGAGAAGACTGTTTGCATGCAGGAGGCCAATGATAAATAGTAACAAGCACATGGTAACAAGACAGAAGGACCACAGTCGCTCAAAGAAATCCTGTGTGTGTGTTTCCAAAGAGCACCCATTGGCTGAACCTCAGTGTAAGAGTTGGCTTTCTACGACATCTGAGTGCTTGGACCAGTGATGCAGCACATGTGTCAGATTGAGGTTCTGTCAAGGACACCAAACTGGCTTATTGCTACAGGCTTTCATTCATTCATCTACCCATCCACTCAAAAAGTATTTCTTGAATGGGTGATCTTAGGTGCTGGACACACAGTGATAAGCAGGACAGATCCCTCCCATCTTGGAACCTGCAATGTAGACAGGAGAGACAAAAACAAAGAATTGGAGTATGGTCATCAATGCTGTGAAACAAACAGAATAATGGTCAAATTCTGTCTCTTGTGTTAGTTCAGTTTGCTTGTTCAATTCCACGATGTTTGCTCTGAAAGCCTCATTCCACACAGTGTGTGTTATCTGTCCACGGTCACAGCCTGCATGCACAGAGCATTTCTCTGCAGCACCGGGCTGCTCGCCAGGGGAAACAGTGAGCCCTCCATGCGTTTACACTCCATCTATGGAAACAGGGCTTAACCACAAGAAGACATCAATGTTATGACGTTATTAAGTTCTTATCACCTATACCTCATATTGGCATGAAATTAATGTGGGGGGAATTCAAAGGACAAAGTAATTTATTTCACTCTTCGTTGACTGTCTGCCTGGTGCTGGGTGCTGCCTGCCTGTATTAAGGGGACACCACACTTGAGTGGCCACCTATGGCTGTGGCACCGGGCTGGAGCTCTATGGCAGTGCAAGCATTTACCCAGTAGATGGCGCCCAAGTGATCCTTTCGGACCCTGTCATTCTGAAGGAGGGCTTCCGGCTGAACACCATCTGTAGGGGGTGGCATTTTTCTCTGTGTGCCATACAGAGCCTTAGAAGAACGGAGAAGTGACAGGCAAATTTCTGAAAGACTTTTATGTTTGAGTTATAGAGCATTCCCATAGAGCGCTGAGCAGATGTTACAGCACCTTTGTTCGCTCATGTCCTTTACAATGTTTGTGTAATTAGGATTAACCCAATTTATGACAAAGGACCTGAAGTCGCTGAGCCCGGGAGAAGACTCGCCCTGCCTAGGAAAGAATGGTTCAGTAAGCTCAGATTATCCAGGCTAGGGAAAGGAGCTGATTCTTGTCTTCTTTCCCCCAACTTTTTATTTTGAAAATTTTCAAATCTGCAGAGAGCTGAAAGAGTCGTCCATTCATATACCTTTCACCTGGATATACCAATGACCATTTTCCCACATTTGACTTTCTCTATTTTACTGCACTGCAGACGGATGAAGTATTTTCTCCCACATTTCATAACATTGTCACCATTTTCCTTGTCAATGCTAAGATTGTCCTAGACTGGGCCAGGGAAGCCCCTTCAAGCTGGCTTTGCTGCGTCATTCTTGAAGCGCACCCTGGCTTTCTGGTCCTGGAGCCAGCCATTTCTCCACGAGTCCTGGTTCCTTCCATGGGGAAGGGCATTTAGGACTGCAGTCTGCGTGCTCGCTCCAAGAGTGCCTGATATCTGCAGTCAAAATTAAGCTTCCTCTCAATGCTTCTCAAACTGGAAGATTGACTTCTTACGTGGAAAGACTCTGCTGACCCCCCAAGTGGGGTTTATTGAACTTGGCCCTCAGACTGAGTTCCGTAGCCTCCCAAGGGGATGAGCACGGGAGAGATCCAGAGTGGCTCAGTGCGCCACACTTCTTACTAGGGTCTGGGGATATAAGAAGGTTAGGAAATCAACCCAGATAATGGAGGATTTACAGGGGGAGATTATAGGCCCTTAATACATTTTAT